ACGGCTATTTTGGCAGACCAAACGGCTAGTTTTTAAATGGCCAAACGGTCAATTTTATTTTTTAATTAAAATTATCCGTTGGGCCCGTTTAGGACCGTTTGAACCGGCCCACTTCTGGGCCGGTCCCGGTCTCGCGAGCCTCCCATATGAGACCGGCCCACTACCCGACCCACCATCCCACGGTCCCGGTCCTATCCGGTTAGGACCACCGCCCATGTGGGCTTGCGGTCCTGGGCCGATCCCGATACCGGCCCACATGCCACCCCTAACCAAAACAAAGAAAGGTTGCAGCCCAACACTAGCAGCGGATCTTTATTCTAGTATTTCCTTTCACACTGTAGTTCCTTTCAATTGTTACTAACTTATAGTTAATAAAATATTTTTGTTGAGATTCAAATTCAAGATCTTTGCTAACTAAATGGATACTCTAATCAACTAAGCTATAAGAGTTTATTGCTCTCTTGTTTCAGCTTAAAATAATTGATCTCTTATTTCATAGATTTGCTATAAGATTCAAATACAACTACGAATAGTAAATTTGTTAAAAGTATATCTGCTGATGGTAAATATACTGTAACCTGTCAATGGCCCTGCCAAAACCTTGCTCAATTGCTTAGTAATGCTTTGCTCTAATAGAGCTTAAATAAGGACCATGTGGCTTTGTAAGTTATTAATCTAGAGAATCCTAGGCAACGTCGCATCGTGGTAGTGCTAAAATATTCACATGAGTACATCTCATTCGAATAAGACATTTGGAATAAGTTGGACTATTGACTGGAAAATGGAAATGGAGTTCTCTACCTACTTGATTTTTTCTTTTAAAATTGTTCGTCAATTTAATTAAATCTAATTCATGTGAACATATATAAATATTGTTGACTAACGGTGAAGCAATTTAGACCAACTAATTAGATAATGTTAACTCGCTGCTATTAGCTTACTATAATACAAGGGGAAAAAATAAGTTATCAGGAAAAAATAATAGTTAAAAATAGTAACCTTCGGCTAGATTTTTTTTTTGATTTTTATCATTTTGAAATAATAAATATTAAACTACCCCACATATGTGTGCTAATTTTATGAGTTGTTGACCCTATTTTATTTGCCTAGTTTTTAATATTATGCGTAGAAATAAATGACTCATCCTATTCAAAATTTGCTTCAGTCAATTCGGATTGGATTAAGACGGATTGGACTAACAAGATTAATGTTTTTTGAGATTTTTATATAAATAGCCGGTCATATTCATTGTTTATACATTGAGTCCATTTCTCATATGGTCACTGAACTAATAGAAATTGTCTATGAAAGTCATTTTACTTTATTTTGTAACTGAAAAGTCATTATACTTTGCACATTGTTACTCAAAAGTCACTCAGCACTTTTAAGGCATTATTAAATATTATTTTTCATATTTCTTTTCAGCCCAACCATTTAGAATATCAAAAACCCATTTAAATCATGACTCGGTCGTTCCATGATCCGGCCCATTTTTTCTTATTTCTGTTATAAAAAACATAAATATTACTTTGCTAAAGTGTATTATATTGGTTCTCAATATAGTTATACTGAATGTATACATTGGTTTAAGCTAGAGAATAAGAAATTAATCTTAACAAACTAGAGGAGTTAAATTTGAAAGTGAAACAAGAAAATTAGCAGCTTTGAAGTGGAAGAAAATAAAAAAGAGGAAGGAAAAATGAAGAAAAATTATTTATGCTTGAAATTTTGATTGAGAAATATTACTAAAAGAGTTAATTAAAAGACAACATCCTCGATGTTTTAGAACAAGAACGCGCATTGCTTATAGTAAAGATAATATTACTAGAAGACCATTTCTAGCCGAACTAATTTAATACTTTGCTTAAACCAGTATGTTGAAAATCAAGATAATTAACAGCAAAGTAATATTTATATTTTTTGTAACAAAAATAAGAGAAAGTGGATCGGGTCAAAGAGCGGGTTGAGTCACGGTTTAAATGGGTATTTTTTTTATTGTTTAAATGATTGAGTTAAAAAAAATATGAAAAAAAATATTTAATATGCCCTAAATGTGTTGAGTGACTTTTGAGTTACAATGTGCAAAGTATGATGACTTTTCAGTTATAAAACAAAGTAAAGTGACTTTCATAAACAATTTCTATTAGTTCAATGACTATGAGAAATGGACTCTACGTAATTATACATGTGTAATACATAAATTATGCATATATTATACCTCTAGCTATTTTTAATTTAAGCGATTGGATGGACGGCTATTAGGTTTATTCTTCATGTTTTTTTCCCACATGCCACAATGCTGATTGCGGAAAAAGTGTTACAATTTCCATTCATGGGCGAAGCGAAGCTACATTGTCATAAGAGTGGTCAATTGACCACCCTGGATCATCTTTCGTCGAAAAATTATACTTTGTATATAGGTAAAATATTAAATTTTAGAGATATATGAAACATCCTTTTTCGAAGAATATTTTTCACTTCTTTCAAGTTTGAACACCCTTTGTAGGAAATATTTTTTCACTTCTTTCAAGTTTGAACACCATTGGATAAATTTCTGGCTTCGCCGCTGTTTTCATTATTGACAACATATGAAAGAAATTAAAAATTACTTACACAAACTCGTTAATCTACCCATCTCATATTGATAAACTGGAATTAAAATTGAGAAAGTAGAAGGATGACCAAATACGAAATAAAGCAAAAAAAGAAAGAAAGAAGGAACTTCCAAGATTGTATTAGTTCAACCCGTTTGAGGATCACGATATTTTCGTTTGGGTGGAGGTTCTGATCGTCGTGCATGTATTGCTATTTTTCGATGTGTTATTATACGTTTTCTATATTCCATTACATACACCCCTCCATTTTCTGGTTCATGTTTTGCTACCATTTTCTGGCCTTGTGCATTTTCTGGTTTAGGATCTTTCACCACCTGCTCTTGTCCTTGTCCTTGTCCTTGTGCAGCATTTTCTGGTTCATCTATTACTACCACTACTTCTTGGGCTTGTGTAATTTCTGATTCCTCTATTTCCACTACTGGTTTTTGGCCGTTCTCATTTTCTGGTTCAGACAAAACTGAAGTAATAATATATACCCAAATCAGTTCACAATACAACGATAACAGGTTAGGATATACAGTGCGGAACCAAGATTTATATAAGGAGATTTAAAGAAAATACTAGAATGTCATAGTTGAGATTTAAATTTGTGACTAAAGGCAATGTTTGAACCCTTTTTTCCTCGGGGATTCAACATTTTATATATATAATCATCACTGATAAATCAACTAGCGCTGCCTTTGGTTGGTGTTTGAATCATCACTGATAAATCAACAATAACAACAAACCTAGTTAATTTCATGAGTGAGGCTTGGCAGAGGTATATTTATAGCCTATTTTATGGGGCACACGAACTCATAGTTTCTTTGGCAAACTAGGTTTTTTATGTATATATTTATTATAATTGATCTAATATTATCTGATGACACTCATGTTCTAAAGAAGCTAAATGGTGCTCTTGGTTAAATACTTAAATTTTTACCTAAAGGAGCAGGGATCAATTTTCACTTAAACACTTTTTTTTTCCTCCTATCTTTAGTGATGTACCCATATTTTAAAAATTTTAGATCCGCCTTTAGGATCCGGGAGGGTAGAGTATACGCAAACCTTACCCTTAACTTGTGAAGATAAAGAGACTTTTCCGATAGACCGTCGACTCAAGAAAAGACGGAAAAAGAAAGCAGTAATAATTTTCATAATAAAATCCATAAAAACAAGATTATGGTCTTTCAACTCTTACCTTTGGCAGGTTTTCCACATGATATGAGGGATTCAAACAGAACTCTGATCCTGCTGCTCTTCATGTCTAGATCTCTGCAGTGAAGTTAGCGACTTTCTTTTCTGTGTATTGTAAATTTTGCCAAGGCTCAATATGCTTTATAGTATATAGGAATATTTAAAGGTAGAAAGGTTCATTTATTGTACTTGTTATTTTAATAGAGCATACAATCAACGTGTTTTTTTTTAATCTAGATTCCAAGGAAACGCGACAACGACTAATATAATATTCGCAGCAGAGTACATCTCTTCCGAATAAGACATTTTGAGTAAGTTGGACTATTGACTGGAAATGGAGTCAATATTTTTAATCACGTTTTTCTAAAATATTTTATAAATATTTTAAATTATGAATTATTATGACTTATAATACTCTTTATGTAATTTCCGAAATCAAAATTTTATTTTCAAACTTAAAAATCTATGTTCAAATTAACGGTCAAAGTTTTGACCGTCGTACTACGGACTATGTCAATATTTTTGAAACGGAAGAGTATTCAATTTAATTGGAGTACAATTATTCTTGCTACATACACTGTACTCTTCTTATTATTAACCAGTCTTTCAGAAGTGCGGATCCACATAAGAGGTGCACGTGTGCATGCAGATTTAGAATTTTTAAAATATGGAAACACTGCTAAAGAAAGAAGAAAAAAAGGTATTAAGTGAGAATTAATTTTTATTTCTCTGAGTAAATAACTTAGTATTCAACCAAATGTATCATTCAAACTTTGTGGAGATACAGACATAAAATATCCACAAAGTTCTGATGAAAATGTATCATTCTATTAAAATAATTCAGAAGATACATACATAAAATATTTAATTTTGATGAAAATACTATAAATTCACGTGATCCATAAACTATTCTATTAATCCGCCCACGACCCATGTGCACGTGTACAGATTGTTAGAATGGAATCATGTGATTTTCGATAGAAATTCATTGCTCTAAACTCTAATTTGTATTATCTAATTGCTTGAATCTGTGTTAGTTATTTATCACCATTGCATTAGAAAATATTACTTCTAATAACCACTCTCCTTCGATATCTTTTTAAGTATATTTTGGGGGAATTATTTTCCTTTATTATTATTCTTCAATGTGAATGTGAACGCGTGTTGATTATAAATAGTTGAACAAGGTGACACTCGACAACAAAATATTCATTACCTTGCATAGATTATATATATGTTTGACTAGTTACATAGACCTAATCATTTTTGCAAGAAATAGATTTGGGATTGTTATACATGGACTTAAAGTCACCATCAAAAGGAAAAAAGGACTCAATTCGACTACAATGATCTAGAATGTACTGGATTAGAACTCATGCGTTTTAACTATGAGAATTTTTTCGTTGGAATTGATATTTGCTAATTTATTTAACGGCAAAGGTCCAAATATACTCTTGTATTTTAAAAAATAGTGTAAGAATATCCCTCGTTATACTATTGAGCTATTTATACCCTTGCAGTCATATTTTGAGTTCAAATATATCCCTCATTTAAACGGAGGAACATGTGTCATCGTCCTGTTAACCAATTCTAAATATCTCTTAATTAATTAAAAAGACCCATTATTTGGTACCCAAAAAGTAATTTTTTAAAGCAATTGTTTTTTGTTTGTAAAAACTGAAAAAAACTGATATTTTTTACTAAAAACTAAAAAAACCAAAATATTTTCTAAAACAATATTTTTGTAAAAACTGAAAAAAAAAAAAATATTGAAAAGCAATTAAAAATTATAAAAAACTGAATAGTTTTTTACTAAAAACTGAAAAATTCGAAAATAGTTTTTTTCAGTTTTTAGAAAAATATTTCTTTAAAAAAAACTGAAAAATAATTTCTAAAGCAAATATTTTTGTAAAAACTCAAAACAAAACTGAAAAATAATTTTCTAAAGTAATTAAAAACTGAAAAAAACTAAATTTTTTTTAACTAAAAACTGAAAAGAAAAAAAAAAGAAAATGTTTATTTTTTCAATTTTTACAAAAACATTGCTTTAGAAAATTATTTTTCAGTTTTTTGTTTTCAGTTTTTACAAAAATATTGTTTTAGAAAATATTTTTCAGTTTTTTTTAAAGCGGTTTTTTTGTAAAAACTGAAAAAGAAATATTTTCGTTTTCTTCAGTTTTTAGTAAAAAATAATTTAGTTTTTTTCAGTTTTTACAAAAATATTGTTTTAGAAAATATTTTTCAGTTTTTTTTAAAGCGGTTTTTTTGTAAAAACTGAAAAAGAAATATTTTCGTTTTCTTCAGTTTTTAGTAAAAAATAATTTAGTTTTTTTCAGTTTTTATAAAAAAAAATTGCTTTAGAAAATTACTTTTTGGGTACCAAATAATGGGTCTTTTTAATTAATTAGGAGATATTTAGAATTGACCAACAAGACAATGACACGTGTCCCTCCATTTAAATGATGGGTATATTTGAACCCAAAGTATGACTGCAGGGGTATAGATAGCTCAATAGTATAACGAGGGGTATTCTTAGACCATTTTCGAAAGTAAAGGGGTATATTTAGACCTTTGCCGTTTATTTAATTACTAAAAACTTTCTCTCTCACATAAAAGCCAACCAGCCACCAACAAAACCCATGCATTTTCCACCTTAACCTTAATACAATATATCTTTTTTAGTATGTCCGAAAAAAGGATTTATTTTTGAATTTGAAAATGATTTAACTTAAAATTTTTATTTTACCCTTAATAATAACTTTATACAAAAGCCTTAATGCCGTACAAATTTTATCACTTGTTTAAGGCCATAACACATCAATACATGATCACATAAAATAAAACGGAGGAGTATGATATTTACAACTAAAAATCCGAAAATAATATAAGATATTCCTTTTTTTTTTTTACACTTCATGATTGAAATTAAAAACTAAATTTCACTCACCAGCGACCAAGTTGATTGCTGAAGCACACAAAGTTACTATAGTTTCTTTTGTTGACAACTTATGAAAGAAATTAAAAATCAACAAACTCATTCTGAAGAAACTCTATCCTAATTCTAAGACTCAAGGAGATCTGCTTAGAGATAGAGAAGACGAAGAAAACCTAGAAGTAGTCGTGTATTCTGTCCACATAAAAGTTAAGGGTCATTTGGATGAGTTTATGATAAAATAAATTATATAGTTAGTGGGTTAGGTAAATAAAATATAAGGGAACATAGTTAGTGGGTTAGGTAAATAAAATATAAGGGAACATAGTTAGTGAGTTAGATGAGAGGAATATAGTATAAGGGAACATAGTTAGTGGGTTAGGTGGGAGACACATAGAAAAATTTCCAATTAATACAAAGAATATAATACAAAGCAATGAATAAGACACACAGAAAAATTTTCAATTAGATTTCTTCTTCAATTTCGTACATGGTATCAGAGCAATAAGCTCGATCCAACAGTCGAACCATCAAATCCATTTACATCAGATTTATCATCATAATCAGTAACTTAAAATGCCTGAAACAACCTATCACATCTACTGGTGATACGAGAAATGCTGCAAAACCAGTCAACTATGATATCAATCACCCTTATCATCTCAACAACTCTAATTCACCACGAATGACTCTAGTCAACACTGTGTTTGATGGAAGAGGATACCGAGGGTGGAGGAGATCTATTCTCCTGTCTTTTTCAGCCAAGAAGAAACTTGGTTTCATCAATGGAGCATGTCAATCTCTAGATCATGAACAATGGAGTTGCGTGAATGACATGGTCATCCCTTGGATCCTAAATGCTCTCTTAAAGGATATTGTAGACATTGTGATATACTCCAAAACTGCAAAAGAGCTTTGGGACAGCCTGGAGAAGAGATTTGGGAGATCAAATGGAGCCAAACTTTATCATCTGCAGAAGGAGTTATTAGGTTTAGTACAGGGAAACAGTGACATTGCAGGATACTTCACTAAGCTCAAACGACTGTGGGATGAATTAGATGCATTAAATGTTATCATATGTTGTTCATGTATTTGTGTTTATGAAGGAAAGGAAAAGTTGACTAAGTCTCTTGAGGATCAGAGATTGATCCAATTCCTAATGGGATTAAATGAAATCTATGCACAAGCAAGAGGAAATATCCTAATGATGAACCATTTGCCTAGCATTGATATTGCTTATTCTACTTATTCACATCTCTTGCAAGATGAAAATCAAATAGAAGTTTATGCAAATGCACATTTTAATTCTGAATCAGTATCATTCATGGCAGTTGGAGAGGCCAAGCAGCATAATGCACAGCTTTTAGCTGATTTAAAGCTTTTATGATCACAAGACAAGGGAAGAATTATACGAAACTTAGAAACCAAACACAAAAAGGAGCAACCATAGCACCCAAATATAACAACTCAGGGCAAAAATTTGTTAAACCTCAACAAAGGTTTAAAGGAAAAAGGAAGTACAATCCAAATGTATCTTGTACTTATTGTGAAAAAATAGGATATACACAAGAGGACTGCTACAAAATTATTGGATTTTCAGAAGATTTTGAGTTCACCAATCAGAAAGGTTATCAGAATCAAATTAAAGGAAATGCAGTCCTAACACATGAGGAACCTGAGAATTCAGCAGGACAAAGCACTAAGCTCAACAACAGTAATTTTAGACAGCAACTCAGCAAGGAATAAATTGTAGAAATGATGCACATGTATAAGCAGGCAAAGTTAGCACATGCAGAAAATACAGGAATCAATGTTAATGCAGTTGCTGGTACTATTTTAAAATACTCAGGTTCAATGTTTACTAGTCTAAAATCAGACACCTGGATCATTGATTCAGGTGCCTCAGAGCATATGTGTTTTGAACCTAATTGTTTTCTATTTCTAACACCACTTCATGTACCTTTGAATATCAGTTTACCTAACTCTTTCAAGGTGATTGTTACTCATATAGGGAGTATTTCTATTCTGCCAGGTCATATCTTGAACAATGTGTTACTTTTTTCATAATTCAAATATAACTTATTATGAGTTAATAGGTTTTGTGTCAGTTCAAGTATGATATCCTATTCACATCTATTGGGTGTGTATTGCAGGGCCTTTTAATGAAGAGTCCACAAGTTTTTGGGGAAGTT